GATAAATTTACAGATAAGTTTTTTTTTGGTGTGTATTAAATTGTGATATGTGACATAGTACATAAATATATTTAGTATTACAATTATTTGTTTGTATTAAGTCTTCTTTTTCGGTTTAACTTACTTGAATATATCAGTCCCAAATAATTTTGATGATTATACTGCATAACCGATAATGAGATTTGAGAACTGGTTTTGTCTTGGTTTTTGTAGTACTCAAATTTTCACATGTATTGTATTTGGGATCAGAAGTCCTACTGACTTCTCTGTAGTGAATAAGTAAACACTAATTCTAGTATCACACAGATTTTGGCAGTAAAAGAAAGGAAAGATTTTCTACTATGATGATATAGCAACACTTACAGAAGACCTCCTGTTTTGGGGATCGCTTTCTGAACATTATTTTTGTTTGGTTTACTGACAGAATGATTTGAGTACAGGGAAGCAATTGGTTAGTGAATTGTGAAGAAGAACATGGAACAGAAAACACAACAGGATATTGAGTTGAGGTGTTATTTCTTTTTATGTAATCATATGTTGGTAATAAATTTACAGACGTGTTTTGTTTGATGTGTGTTAAATTGTGTAGTAAAGAAAAAGATGGACGGAGAAAATAACTAAGAAGTATTCGGAGGTGTCTGGCACTCACCCAAAGTGAAATTAGGGTTTTTTTGTTTTTTTAAGCAGACAATAAGAAAAAGTTCAGTTGCTGAGTTGGCTTATGTGTCCCCCCACCCCGCCCCAAGGAGAAATCTGGGAGAAAGTACAATTTACCTTTGTGATAGGATTTTGTTTGGACATTGTTAGTGTGTTAAACGTGTTTTGTTTGATGTGTCTTAAATTGTTTTGTAAAGAAGAACAGTGTTTGGCATTCAATGGATGGTGAAAAAAACTAAGAAGCATTCGGTGGTGTCTGGCACTCACCCAAAGTGAAATTAGGGTTGTTTTTTTATTGGGCAGATAAGAAAAAGTTCAGTTGCTGAGTTGGCTTGTGGGTCCCCCCGAGGCTACTTCTCTATGACATTATTTAGAAAAGCTTTTAATTGCTTTTGCAAGTAAGTTATATTAAGGACAGTATTGTCTGATGAATAATGAATTTTTACAAGAATTTTTTAATTTTTTTTTTTTTTAATTTTAATTATAATAATTTATAATAGTTTAAAATCATGTAAAATTCTGTATTGGGTTATTTCCTGAATGTGATACAGTAATTAAGTGGAAACAAAATTTACAAATCCAAAATTGAAAAGATTAATAAACATAGCTACACTATTCTATTTTTAAAATCCTTTTTTATTTCTTCTTTTTTTTTTTTTTTACTTAATTTGTTCCCTATTTTAATCTATGAAAGTCTAAATGTGACATTATGAAACAGTTACATAATCTAAGAGGTTTTGTCACTTCACTGAGAAATTAATTTAGGAAAATTTTATAATATTTTAAATTTTTTTTTATTGTTGTGTAAAGCATCTTTGAAAAGTAAATAAAAGTCAATAAATTATTAAATAATTGCAGAAAGTATGTTCATTTGTAAAAATTAAGAGGTAGTTAAAAACCAAAAAACATGCATTCACTTAGATTTCGTAAATTTTATATCGATTCAAGCCAGCCATACTAGCTATCATCATTTGGTCACTCATCAGCCAGCCATTATTGCCTCAGATAAATAATGATAAGCAGCACTGATCATTAAATAAATGGTTGTATATTACTTTTTTATGCTATATGTAAGTAATATTTATTTCAAATCAGACTAATTTAACTTTAAATTTTCAAATTTTACTCAAATAACATGTCAGAAATATATACATATATATATATTTGTTTTGGAAGAATTTTATAATCAATAAATTTGTTTTGCTTACAAATTTCTTAAAATTAAGAAAATGGTCGCTTTTAAGAAAATTTAAAAAATTGAAATTAAATTTGACATTCCAATCTATATAATTTCTATCTGAAATACACCAGAATATTTTACTTACTGGAAATAATAAATTTAATCATTTAGCTTTCACTTAAAGCTAAAATGAAATCTTCAAGAATGTTTTTTTCATTTTTAAAAAATTTCATTTTAAACTTTAGGTACAGAAAATTTATTCCAAAATGGTGGAAGTACCAACACTACACATTTATAAGTAAATAAATAGCAGCAACATCAAGAGAATTCACCTGAGACACAAAAAACACGAAAATTACTTATATTTAGTTATTCCCGTTAACTTTACTAATAAATTTATTTAACTCCTTTTTTTGCCTACATGTTTCCACATCTCGCTCCATTTATAGTTCGTATCAATTAGCTGCCGACGCTATTCTGGTTATTCCTGTTTATGGGAAGCAACTCTAGATTTGTTTCTCTCTTTCTAAGGGAGTTAACTCTAGCTACGAATCATTTTTATCAGAAAATTAATTTAAAAAAACGATTTGGATGCATACAGTGATTTTTGGCATTATATAGTTTCTTGTAAAATATATCTATTTCTTGTTTTGTGCTTCATGACGTTAGTGAATAAGCTCTTAGGATGGCCTTCCAATTTGGCTGGGAGAAATCTGTCTGACAGTTGTCACTTTGAACACATTTCCTTGTCTATCAATAATGAGAATGTCAGTGTGTTGCTGTGTCACACTTTTCCAACTTGACTCCTAGAGCTTGTAGCCCAACATATCATGCCATTTTGGGACCAGGCTGACTCAGCAAATTAAAGACATTCTGGACAGATCTGGACCAGCAGTACTGAAATTTTAGATTCCCAAGTTTTCATTACTGCAATTAATTAATTGCAAAATCTAGTGAAAGTTACCCATGAAATAAAAATAATTGTTTGTATGGAAAGTAAGGACCTACGCACATCAAATTGTCTTTAAATTAAGTGGAAGCAGAAGAATTATTGTTGAATTTTTAAAAGATAAGCTTAAATATTAATGCAATACTTAAACGCAATGATCAATTTTGAGTTCTTCTGTAGTTTATTGATGCCTATCGCATACGACAGCAGTATGCCTTGCAAAAAGAAATCTCCGCCAAGTGAGGACCAGATTGCAATCAGAAGAGCCAAGATTGCAATGAAGAAAAGAAAGTTACATGCAAATGAAAACTGAGACCAATCAGCAGCCAGGAGTTTCCAATGCTGAGAATATGCAAAAACTTGGGGTTTCTCAAACTCCTGAACAACCTGAAGGCTTGATCAAGAGTTCTCCTCAGGGCAACCTTTAAGCCAGTTATCTAATATTAGCCTGACTGCACTTTCATTTTCATCTCTGCCTGATTTCATATTCTTTACTTGTGGTGACCATATTGTTCAACTCTCCCATAAGGTTGATATTTAGCCTTTCTAAAGTCACAAAGAACTGTTTCAACTGTTAGGCAAACTTGATTTATTTGAGAAGGATATTAGAATAATTCAGAATCTATACTGGCAGCAAAACCATCTGCATAGGGATAGAAAATGAATTCAGTCGATATACAAAAATAGAAAAGGATTTAAGACAAGGATGTGTCTTATTCAAGCTATACAGTGAGAGAATTCATTATTGGCAGCCACAATCTTAACAACTTAAGGTACCTACTTGGAGTCGATAGACACACTTTAGCATATGTCAAGTTCTGTAGATCCTTCTGTCTGCTTGTGTGTGTGTGTGGACCACCTTATATTCAGGTATTTTACTATGCAGGTAAAATAAATTCAGTCAATATACAAAAATAGAAAAGGATTTAAGACAGGGATGTGTCACACCTAGCATATGTCAAGTTCTGTAGATCCTTCTGTCTGCTTCTCTGTGCAGATCACTTTTTATTCAGGTTTTTGACCATTCATGAAATTTAGCAATAGTTATCCAAATTGCAAATTGCAGTTCTGATGGAGCAGGTGAGACATTGTGGCTTCTTAGCCACAGTTCACCATGCTACTTAAAAGGGTTATGTGAATAGATGGCAATGTATTGACAAAAAGGGATGATAAAGGGGGAAAAGTTACATAGAGCAACAAAAAACAGAAGATTGTGGAGAGCTGTGACCGCCCACATCATAAAAGTCTTTGAAAAGATTTCTATATTTATTTTCTCTTATTTGTTTTCCTGTTGGGTGTCACAAAAAATGTATGCATAGTCTTACCTCCTCATTCACCGAACCCCACCTGTTTAGACTTTTCTTTGGGGGTTAATTAAAAGATAAAGTATATGCTACAAAGCAAGTGGCAGTAATTGAAATGAAAGTTTCCATAGAGCAAGAATGCAGCCAAATACCGATCGAAATGTTAAGAAGACATATTAAAAATAAATACTATCTTTATATGCATTATTTAAATTAGATAAAGTTGGTTCTAGTTGCCTGAATTATTTCTTGAGAAAGCTTCAAAATGCAGATACTTTTTTTTTCTTTTTTTTTTTTTTTTTTTTTTGAGTCCGACTATATCTCAGCAACTATTTGTACCAATGCCTAGGAACTGATGGGTTATTAGTGATTAAGTTTTTTTTCTATTGCCATACTATGAACAACTTCTGTAAATACTCTTAATGAATTATAGTTATAAAAAAATAGAAATATTGATATTTAAACACGTTTAAAATTAAATTATAATCTTCTTTTATGTGCTATATCCTTTCAGGGTGTGGACGATCATGGCTCTCTACAATTGCCTTTTCTTTGCTCTAAGTAACTTTTTAGTAATTTAAACACACACTTTATCGCATTATCTCCTGTCTTCTTTATTCTTCTTTTAATGTAGTCTCTCCTTAATATTGTTTTTTTTTTTTTTCTAATTCTCTAACACTCTGTAACTCTTTGATTCTTAGTGGCTTTATTGCCTTACTCGGAGGTGAAATGATTACGAGAAAATAAAAATGAACCCTTGTTCTTTGATGTTATTCATTCATAAACGAATATCTGGAACATGCAAAAGAGCAGGTGCATTGAGTTCTGATTTTGTATCTACTGGAGATATAATGTAATTTTTTCATTTACTCTTATTATTAATTTTATTCTCTATTTTATCTTTTTACAGAACCACTTAAATATAAGCTGTCATTTAATGGTATCAGCAAAAGGCAAATTATTTTACAGTTAATAGATGCTGCCTTGTACCTCAATGTCAATAGGATTGCTTTCCTGGCATGGACAAGTAAGTGTTTTCTATCTTGAAGTTTAGTATCTGTCTATATTTATGAGATGAGGTATTATGTACATTATTTACATTATTCGGACTATTGTCCTCATCTTTGTCGCCATATTTATTACAACATTTCAGCTGTTGTACACGCCGGCCTTCTTCAGGTAATTGGAATGTCGAACTGAACCATTTATTTCGCTCACTGGGGTAGACTGTTCTAATTCCATGTGCCGTGTCTATTGGATGTCAGTTATCAGTTATCTCCTGTTAATTCCCCTCCCCAAGTTCCCCACTCCCTTAACTGGGTAGCGAGCTCAAAGTCTTTGGGTCCTGTTACTAAATCTAACTAATGCCTTTATCCACCGTGCCATATGTCCTATAGCACAGTGGATAAAGGTGTTAGTTAGATCCATTCACGCACTGAATGTATTTATTCAAATATTTTTTAAATTCATCTGAAAAGGTCAGCCTATTTGATTTTTGATTGGATTTTGCCAATATTATAAGATATTGTCCAGTGTTCATAAATGGTGAGAAGTCTAGTCAAGGTCATTATATTCACTTTCGCACAAACACCCTTTGGGGAGATAAGAATCTAATCTTTCCTCCCAGCAGTTATAGGTTAATTAGCTGAGCAGACTAAATCCTCTCACCTTAAGTGGTTGGTAAACAGTATAGAAGGACAATTCTCAGTTCAAAATAATATGTTGGGAATGGTACGAATCCTTCGTTTCTCTCTCCCCACCAGGGTTGAATAGCAGGACAAATTGGGTCCTATAGCCTTTGTTGGCCACTAGTCTTCCACAGAAAGAAATGGCAACCTACTACTAGGAAACTCTACTGCCTAGTCAGTCATGAATCGAAAAAGATATGATCGCCCAACCATGTATCACATATGGCACTTGAGGCATTGCCTGAAAAGAAATGTAAAATGCAGATAACAAAAAAAAATTGCAACTCGTCAAAGATTTTCTCAAGGGCAGCGAATGTGTTTATTATGACTCTTTGTGTGTGTTTGTAAGATTTTGGATGTAAAAAACGCATGTAAATTTTTTTTTTTTCCAAATGGATGTCTCTCAGATTTGGTTAGACTCAAGTTAAGAATTTCCTTAAGAGAAAGAAAGAACTTTGTGCTTCATTGTTTTGTTTGTTTTTTTCTTGGAGCCCAATTAAATTATATAAGGAAAAAATACGAAAATGTAAAATACTGAAAGAATCTTTTATTCATTTTAAAAGAAAAAAGATATTTTGACCACAAACAACTGAGGGAATATTTCAGCTCTAGAAATTTTGGAAAAGTCGATTTACTGCCAGAGACCTTTCATAGAACTAAAAACCAATCCACTTATACTGGCCATTGTATAAAAGCCTTGCTAATGATTTTCACTTTTGTCTTTCATCAGTATGGCTGATGCTAACCTCTAGGAGGGTGACTCCTTGCACTTTCTTGTTCTTACGTTTTCCACCAACATGAAGTGGAATGATTATTTTAATCAACTGCCAGGTCTATTGCTTGGAAAGTTGGTTCACTGTGTTGTGCCAGACAATTTATTCTCACCAGAATCCATCTTGCATGTTAATAAATCTCCCATTCATCTATGCACTGAACATTGCTGTTACATACTCTCAACAGGCTCCAAAGAAAAGTCTGTAATATTAACAACCCTGACCTGCCATCTTGACTCCAGTCACTTTCTCACCATCATGATGTGACTTTATTCTGTCTTTTCTATAAATATTTTCATGGTTATTGTTCTAATCAGCTTTTCTCTCTGCTATCTCAACCATAGAAATTTAAGCATACTATTAGATTGGCAACTAACTCATTTTTTTGCTGCTGAAATAGCTGGATGTAACCTTAAATTCTATTCTAATACTTTCTTTTCTCACACTTCTTGCCTGGGGAATTCACTTCTGGCTTCTTGCTTCCTTGTCAGATATGATCTTCAAAAATGTAGATACAATGTCAATCTTCATTTTCTATCTTTTTGAATTCTGTTCTTGTCATTTTTCATCACTAATGTCTTATTTTCTTTCAGTCCCAGTAACCTCTGGTGTCTTAGTGGCTTTATCACCTTGTAGGAGGTGGGAGGATGAAATTAGAAAAAAAACATTAAAAAATCAGGAAAGAATTAAAGTTATTGAAAGAATAGAGCTATATCATTATTTTTATTAATACTGTAATCTTTTCCATTAATTCTCTTGTCAAAATGAAATTGCTTTACTTCTGCCAGTGGCTGATCTTTTGAGTTTTGGGATGTTTGTGTGACGACAGTACATGATGATTAAAAAATAACTCCACATTTTAAAATACGTGTAATTTATTTATTAACTATAATTTTTACAAGAAACAGATATGAGAGGAAAGCGTTTAGCATGTAGTTTTATTTGAAATTTGATATAGGCACCAGATTTTACTACCATCTTCTTGAGCCGCGCAGGAATTGCATCAACTGATTTCACCAGGAACTCTTGTGGTATGGAAGGCATAACTTCTTGTATTCTCCCTTCAAGTTCTTCCAAAGTCTTAGTTTGGTAAAGATTTGTTCTTTTAACCAACTCCAAAGAAAATAAGTCACAGGGTGTTAAGTCAGAACTCCTGGTTGGCCACTCATACATAAAATAGGAAGTTAGTTTTCAATCACCCTGTATTATAGCACTTAACATTTAAATGCTTGTCTTGCAAGCTCTTGTTAGTGAGATCCATCCTTACTCAAAATGAAGAATATCACCCAGTGTAGAGTGAATCCAGTAAATATCTACCAGCTTTCTTGTCTTGTATATCAAATCATTTATAATCTATCCTCTTTTTTTTTTTTTTTTTTTTTTTTAAACTTTAGCTGAAAACATCTGCTTCCGGAATGGAACTGCAAGGTTGACTAACTTCCACATGGGTTCTGCGTTATTCGATGAGTTTGATACCGGACTCATCAAAAGCCTTTTATATCCGACAGTTGTTCCACCAGAGGTTAGTAACTTTTATCTGTTTGAAAGAGTCAGAAGTAGTTTCCATTTTGGGGAACCAATTGCAATCATTACTGTTGTAACCTAGGCAAGGTTACTGAATAAAATACACAAACAAAGATTGGTAATGAACGATAGAACGGTGCATAGAAGAAGTAGTCAACTGCTAGAAGTGAGCCAAGTTAAATCCACAATGAATCTCCAACTGCAGACCAACACATACAGTATTCACTACTGTATTTATTGGTAATGGGGGTATACTCATTATTATCCATAGATATGCTACAACACATAGGGAAATTATTTCTAACTTAACCTAATATTTGTTTCCATCTCTTATCATATTTGATATAGTATATAGGAAGTTGTGGAGAACCTTAATCTGCAATGTTATTGGTTCTGACCTGGTGTATCACCATCAGTCACTTTCCCACAGTCATAATGTATATTTTTATGGTAATTGTTCTGATGGGCTTTCCTCATTTTTAAAAACTATTTTTATCCCCGACTCTAGGCAAATTGCACATGGGAACTAGTTAGGACTTCATAGAGACTCTGAGGTATTATGGTGGTTGTCGTAAGAATGTGTTGTTTGTTGTAAAGAATACTGTGGTATATTTGGCTCGGGAATTGTGGCTAGCTAAGTTTAAGATAAGACAGATTGAAGACTATTGCTGGTATTAAAACCTATTTTTTACACTTTCATATTGTTTTGACCCCAGTTTGAGGGTTAACTATTTGCCCATAGCTGGGATCCTAAGTGCTACCGCCCCAGGCCAGGGTGGACCTGGGAATACTAGCAAATGATTCCATGCTCTTCAAAACCTGATCAGAGGCCTTGATGTTGGCTGTAGTTTATCGTCTTACCCAGGATGTGGATGTAGATTATTGTTTTACTCAGGACAGCTACTGCAGATGGTTGAAAGTTCTTGAAGAGGAAAGATTATAAACTTTGGACCATTTGTCCATAAATTTAATACAGATCTGTGGTGACTTATTGTTTTAATAGACTTGTGCTGCCTAAGACCAAAGTCTAATTAGAAATGACACCAGCCCAGGTGAGATACTGTCTTTTTTTATGGTGGGTACAGGTTCACCCTGATAGGTCTTCTACCTCTATATTCCATGGACACTGAACTGACCTACTGATAAGCATCTGATGTCTATTGAGTGTGGATACAATTTGAGTTAGTGTCATTTGACTGTCACCACAGGCAATTCTCACCAAATACCTCTGGTCACAATACTTAAAGACCTGTGGTTGGCCATTGCACTGACTATGGAATGCAGTAATGCTTCCTTTCAGACATTCCTCGTGTGCATATGACATTGTAGATTAAGAAATATCAGAAAGACACAGTGGAAATTTCTAGGACCAATAAGGAAGGCTTGGAGAATTTAACACTCACAGGACATATTGAAGACTGGAGGAAAACAGCAAATATCCTACCAAATGAGCTTGTGTGAGTTGATAGCAGAACAGCGATTGGGAGAGATATCTAAAATACAAACCTTTCTAAGAGCTACAAAGCACAGGAAATGGTGGAGAGCCATGATTGACAACATCCTGAAGGGATATGGCACATAGAAGAGAGAGAATGAATTATAATTAAGCTAATGATTGAATTAGCTTCTTGCAAGTTTCACATCTATAAAGTACCTGTGGAAATTCTGCTATTGCATTGTTAAAGCTGAGAATTTTTCTGTTAAAAATTTGCATGCATTTTGTCTCTCCTATTACGTCCATGAGATAAATGAAGAGATAACTTCAAATAAGTTCAAATTCTGGTTGAGTACATTACATTCACTTATCTTGGGAAGCATATAGTTATTTTCTAAGCATAGCTTAGATGTGGCACAAGGCCGAAAGTATGGGGCACCTAGCGAGGATCAAACTCACTTTTCAGTTGTAATTGATCTAGCGAGACAAGCTTGCTAACCATTACACCATGCCGAGGTGCCCTCTTGGGAAGCATATAACTTCATAGAATAGAACTTGTATCTGTAAAAAAAATCATTGTTATTGCCCATAAAATTAATGCAATATTCATTAAAAAAATAAAGAATTATTCTTACAATCAAAAATATATCTTGGCTTTAAATAACCCACAAACGGTTGATAAGCTGTAAAAAAAATAAATCAATGGCTCAAGCTTTCACATGCTTAACAATTTTAAAATATTGCAATAAAAATCATAAGTATGAATACAGATCATTATTTAAAGAAGTAACAAAGTACAAATGAAAAGATTCTAAATTAACAAGATCTTCTGCTTCACTGAAGCAGACGTTAAATACATGAGAGCATTATCACTTCCTCTACCTGTGCTGGGTATGACGATAAACTGCATCCACGTCCTGGGTAAGACTATAAACTATGTCCAACAGCAAGGCCTCTGATCAGGAGGTACTGAGGAGTGTGGAACCACCTCTTAATTGCTGGTGTTGACCCGGGGTGGTAGCACCTGTTAGGGTCCCAGCTATGGGCAAATAGTTAACACTCAGATTAAATCTATGTCCTGGGTATGACGATAAACTACGTCCAACAGCAAGGCCTCTGATAATACGTTTTTGAAAAAATAATGTTGCTAGCTGTACGTTTTTGAACAAAAAAAAAATATTACCAGCTATATATTTTTGAGAAAAAAAATATTGACAGAAATGGATTTTTGACAAAACAAAAATATTACCAGGAAAAAAAAAAGTTGGTGTCATTAAAAGACCCATTGAGGTTGATATGCCGTAAAACAAACCAAACCAAACTTCCCCTGCCTTTTCTTTCTTTCTTTTGTTCTTTCTTTCTTTCATATTAAAACCAAGAAGTGTTTTTGATATATCTTCTTCTTATGTCTTTCTTTTCATTGAAAATGGACTGATACTCATCACAAGATTTCGAAATAGGCTAACAGACATAACGATGAGGGGAAACTAGCCTGAAATAAACAAAAAGGTTAGGGATTTGCTCTGTCCTCTGTTGCTCTACTTTGTAGGCAAGAGACAGGAAAGCTATTACAGGGTATAATACAGATGCTAACTAACTTATTAATGGAGGAATAGGCAGAATTATGTAATTAATGTTATATAGAAAGACAAAATAATCTATGAACTTTCTATATGGCCTATGCTTCTAGGACAGTTACATACTGGACATTTGTGTCCCAAACAATTGTGTACCTGGACATTTGCATCCCTCTGTTAATTCTTTGAAGCTTTTTACCATAAATTTTGAAAAAAGCATAGGTAGTAATCATAAATTTTTAAAAAAGGAATAAAATAAAAAAAAAATTAAAAGTTTATTTTTGTTTAAAATGCAATAACAGATTGACAGTGTTGCAAGATCGCTCTACACACTGCCATTATGTTTTTGTTTCATCAGTGTTTTTCTTATGATAGTGGTAGCTGTAATTTTCCTCATCCACAGATAGTTTTCCGTCAGGGTTTGATTTTTTTAACTTAGCCATGGGTTCCAAATAGAAATATAATCTATAAAATTCAGAATCTATTAGATATTTGTGGTAGGCACTGCTGGAGTGAACTGAAACTGCTAACTTAATTTTCTCTCACTTTTTTATTTATGGTAGCTACTTGTTGAGAGTAATTAAAGGTATTAGTTTGCAAATATCTATATTAAACAACTCCTTAAAAATATTTTTTTCTTTCAAAATGTTTACGTTATTTATGTTGCTTGTTTAGAATAATTAAAGTTGGTTTGCAATTAGCAATTCTTAAAAGAAAGTATAGTAACTTCAAAAAATTATCAGATGTACACATTTATCCTTGGACGCATTTGTCTTAGGGATGTAAATGTCCAGGGATGCAATTGTCCGGGACACAAAGTCCAGTACACAATTGTCTGTCCACCACAACAAACAAGAAAAAACAGTATCCAAATGTATCCATAAACCAAATGTTCATCTGGATATCTATGATAATTTAAAGATCCATTTTTGCTCAGTTGACAGACAAAAAATAAGTGCCCAATTTAGTAATATCTATCTATCTACCTATATATATATATATATATATATATATATATATATATATTTATATACAACCGCATATACTCTAAACTGATCCCCCTCACTAAAAATTTTACTTTTTAGAATATTCTCAAACTAATCTGCAAAAAAACGTACAGAAAATTTAGTAAGCATAGCTTTAGTTGTCTTTGGGTTAAGTTATAGATATTTGATGTGTTTAATTTAACAGATGTCTGGTAGAATTTAAGTGTGCTACTAGATTGGCATCTAGGTCCCACCCTTTTACTGCTGAAATAGTTAAATGTAACCACCACTTCTACGCCAACAGTTTCTTTACTTGCACTTCCCAACAGTGGAACTTGCTTCCACTTACTTGCTTTCCTGATGACTACAATCTACAAAAATTTAAATGCAACATCAATCAGTATCTTCTGTCTTCTTGAATCGCGTTCTATTTTTTATCCTTTCCTCAATCCCTCCTATACCCAGTCTTTTCTCTCACTTTCACTGTCTGTACTTCTGTATACTAGTGGCACTCCTGCCATGCTTGGGGTAAAATGATGAAAATAAAAATCAACAGATGTCTGGTGCAGTATTTGGTGTGTTCACTTTGACAGATGTCTGCTGTAGTATTTAATGTGTTCGTTTTAGCAGATGTCTGGCTGAGTATTTAATATGTTCAGTTTAACAGATGTCTGGTATAGTATTTCCTATGTTCAGTTTAACAGATGTCTGGTATAGTATTTCCTATGTTCAGTTTAACAGATGTCTGGTATAGTATTTCCTATGTTTAGTTTAACAGATGTCTGGTATAGTATTTCATGTATCCTCTATAACAGATACCTGATAGTTATCTCAAAGTAATTTCTCTGAAACTCTGCTTTTATTTGCTTGTTTTTCCCCAATTTTCATCTGGATCCATTTTTATGTATTTTCCAGCTTAACTCCAAAAATGTAACGCTTCACAAGGCTGATGTATGGGGTGTTAGCTGCTTGTTATTTGAGCTTATCACTCATGAGGTTGTGCACTCTCACTTGCAACACATTGAAAGAGAATTGGTATGGAGACTGGTAAGAGAATTCAATTAAATCTTTGTTTAAAATGCTTTAATCTATTTAACTCTGTTACTACTATAGGTGCATGTCGATGTATTATAATTATAGACATATGTATAAATGATCAACGTATACCTATTCCCAAAATGAGTAAATGCTTCTAGACTCAAATATAACCAACCAATATATAACTATCCCCAAACCCATTAAATGCTTATAGACTCAAATATAAATGATGATTATTTATCTACCCTCAAAGCAAGTAAATGCTTATAGACTCAAGGACAAACCTCAAGAAATTTAAATAAAACGATTATATGAACACAAAAGGGATCTTTTACAAAACAACACATTAAATGCATTAGTTGCTCACGATAATGAGTTTGACAATAATTTTGATTTAAAAAAATGTTACTCTAATGAAAAGAGAAAGCAATTCACTGTATACCCAAAAAAACATATTTTAAAAAAGAAATTTTGTTTAATTCAAAGTGCATGTTTTGACATTTTCAACTTCTTCTACTTTGTCATAGATTTTCCTAAAATTGTTTTTGATATATAAAAATTCATATATCTTTTTTTCAGGCTCAAATATGAACAACCAAAATAACATATCTGGAATTAAGTTACAATATCATGAAAATCTGATTTCAATATTGAATAAGTCAACAAAGTTTGATATTTTTTGTTTGAATTTCTGAGATGCAAAGTTACCATTATTTACTCTTTTAATATTTGAACTATTATTCTTGTCTTTGTTACTGTTATCACAATGTTTTAGCCATTGTGCCATCTGGCCTTCTTCAGGTGTATATCTATATCTGGGTAACCTACAGGGAATTCTGAACTGAAACAATTATTTAATCTACAGGGGTTGACGGTTCTCAGTCCACTGCTCTTGTCTTGGGTTATTGTCTAGTTCTTATTTTTATTCAGTACTGTACAATTATAAATACAATATGTGAGACACCAATAGAGAAAGACAGAGAATTGACAGCAAGTCTTCAACTGCAGTAGCAGCAATCAAAAAATGACAGCCAGCAGCAGTTATTCTGTCAATTTAAGTGATTTGGCATGATTAAAATTGATTTTGGGGGACAATGCTTTAAAAAAAAAACCCCAAAAAAACAAAATCTTAGTCTGAGTCTGTAGCTCCACAGTTTAACACAACAGTTTATTAAAAAAAACTTTAGTTAGGACCCAGTGAATTTCCCAAATCACCACCTGTGGGTCACAAGAACTCACTACATTAAAAACCTATTAGCATTTTAATATATATATATATATATATATATATATATATATATATATATATATATATATATATATATAATATCAAAAAAAACAATTTACTCACTACAAAGATGTAACTTCATTTCGGTGCATTTAGTTGCGCCTCAACTGATGAGAACCAAAATGGTTATGAACAATTTTGTTTGTAAGCAGGCCGCACGTGGAACATCACTTCTAACCAGTTGAGGTGCAACTAAATGCACCAAAACAAAGTTGCATTTTTGTAGTGAGTAAATTGTTTTTGTCTATATGAAAAAAAATTTAATAAGTAATTATTGCTCTACTATTGGTATTGAGCCCTCTTTTGAATTAATGCTGTGGATGTTAGAATTTATATATTATTATTTTCATTCTCACTACATTTTTATGTATATATGTATATATTTTAAGACCTTTTTATGTTTATACATTTTTTTTATAGATACAAATATTTAAGTAAATGCTCTGTCTATAATAAACAGTATTAAATAACATTTACCGGCCTGAATGTCCAAGAATTTTTCATAGAAATTATTCATCCTTTGACAGGAATCGAACCTGTATCCTATACGGAACTGTCATATAGCCTGACATGTCTTAACCATTTCGGCCACAGAGGAACATTTGGTTAGCAAGGTCGATTTTACTGTCGTTAAACTACAATCTTCCATGATTCTTTCACGTACATTCATATCTGCTCATGGTGTATCCAAATGTAAACAAATGACATCACACATTATGAAATGGACAAAGTCTGACAATTATTTTAAAACATTTTTATGTTTATACATTCTTTTTAAAATAATTGGCGAATTTAGTCCATTTCATAATGTGTGATGTCATGTGTGTGTGTGTGTATATATATATACATATATATAAATGTGTGTTTGTGTGTGTATATATGTATGTATATATTTATTTATTTATAAGTAATACCAAGATGCAGTTGCTAGGGATTAATCCAAAGAGGACTTCTCAGTCCATATGAGAAGTCAATATATGATACAGAGCAAATTATAAGAATAATTTGGAAAAAACCTTAAAATTTTATAGTCAGTAATAAATTTATTTTGCTGAATATTAGCATATTCATTTCATTGTTGGTCTGATAAGATTAATATATGCTTATATTCATTATATATTATTACTGGCTATGGATTTTGAAGGTTTTTTTCCTAATTATTCTCATATATATATTTTTTGGTTGGATAGATGTGAGTTTGTGACCCTGAGTTTCACACTTTATATATATGATAGGATAAGGTACAAACAAGAAGCATTTAAAAATTTAACATGTTTTACTTTTATTTAAGCTTCTTTAAAAAAAAAAAAATTATGCAGAAGAAAATTCTGGTACTTTCTTTTTGTGTTTTTTTTTTTTCATTGATGTGTCTGTCCTGTTGAGCAGCATTCGTGTGTTGATGTGTATCACAATTCTAGTTGGTCTATACAGAGTTCAGTTAATAATGCATATGCACATGTGTCTGAGTGACTAGTGGAAATTTTCATCTATGTCTGGTGTTTGTTCGTATGTTGATTGTGGGGAATATTTTGTGTGAGATTGAAAGAATTTGAGTTACACTGGTTATGTCTGTAGGTAGATAGACCTTTATTCTTTAAGTATGGATTTTATAAATCATGGTGATATAAAATCTATACATCCACAATCAATATATAGACAACCACTAGATATAGATGAAAATGCTCACTATCTGCTCCTACACATATACATATGTATTATCAATCAAACTCTTCATAGACCAACTAGAATTGTGATACACATACACACATGAATCATAGACATGAATGCTGCTTGAAAGGACAGATACATGTGAGGTCTGCAGGCATACACTTAGAAAAATTTGATTTTCCATTTCTATAAGCAATTTTTGTCTTTCTACTTTTTTCAGCTGGATGAAAATGGCTGGATACCGAAATATTCATTTGATGATCGTCGACTTGAGAGTATTTTTCAGAAAGGATGGAAGGTTTGTGATATTTTCATTTTTTTTAGCTCAAGATTTAATAACCAATTGACTGCATACTTAAAAGTAGTACTTGATATGTTCTGTATAACAGATGCTTGGTATCGTAATTGATGTGTCTTCTATAAAACATTCCTGGTATAGCATTCAATGTGTTCACTATAGCAAATGTTTAGTATAGTATTTGACATGTCCTCTATGACCGTATTTGGATGTACTGTTTGATATAAGCGGCATCTCAGATGTCCAACTAGGTCATTTTGGTGCCCAGATTCTGGAAGCAAGCAACGTAGCCACACTTGCCAATTTTTCAGAAATTTCTCTACCAATAAAAAAATATATGTTAATGTATTGATCCTGGTACATGAGCCCATTCATCACTGAATGGGTCCAAGCCTTGTTCTAAGATACTGTTTAACATTAAATATCGTTTAAATGCCAAAATATATTTCTATTCAATTAAATAATAATAATAACTCAATATTTTTAATAATTCACTCTTACTACACCATTTACATTATTCAGATTATTGTCCTCATCTTTGTCGCCATGTTTATCACAACATTTCGGCCATTGTACACACCGGTCTTCTTCAGGTGGTTGGAATGTTGAACTGAACCTTTTATTTCGCTAACTGGGGTAGACTGTTTTAGTTCCACGTGCCATGTTTAATGGATGTCAGTTATCTCCTGTTAATTCCCCTCTCAAAGTTCTCCGCCACCTTAACTAACGAACGCTTTTATCCACAGTGGATAAAAGCGTTAGTAAGATCCAGTGACAGGACACAAAGAGTGTGACTTCAATACCTGGTTAAAGCAGTGGAGAATGTGAGAGATGAATTAACAGGAGATAACTGACATCCATTATATTTGGCATGAAAAATAGAAACAGTCTACCTAAATAAGCGAAATAAACTTCAGTTCGACATTCCAACCACCTGAAAAAGGATGAATTAAATGGCGAAACATTGTAATAAATATTTTAAACAAAGATGGCAAGAAAAGAATAAAAATTTAAATAGTGTACATAATACCTCATCTCAGAAATATAGACAGATCATTCTTACTAATACTTTTGATTTAATATCTAGACACCATATAAAAATTGAAAATACCATGTATTTAGAGAAGATAGTTATTTCAATTTGTTGTGATGTCAGTGAATGCCCATTGCCACTTTGTGATGTTAACCAATACTCATCACTTTTATAATGCTTGTTGTAGTAGAGACTTTATAATCACAGATACAACTATAGTACTGGTGTCAGACACTTGCTCAGTAATACTTGCTTGAACAGTAATCCAAATAGAGAAATAGTATAGTGAACAAAGTAGAGAATAGCGATCCGTAAAGTATAGAGGATAAACTAGAAATAACAATTGTTACTCATCAGCTACTTCCGACATACATGTGTTTCCTCTATGGTCATGTCGTCTATTTAATTCAATAATGGGATCACCTGTATTTGCTCACTGGTGATCTATGTTCAACTCCAGTGTCGGCAGCGACATTTTATTCCTATATAACACAGTTACTGTATTTCAATATAAACCTTCATTTATACATGTTTTATAGAAATGAACATACAAGTAATATGTGTTAAGGTTTTTTGCTGAGTTTTTCCTGACTTTGCATGAGTCATTTGCAAGTTCCTTTGCAAAGAACTTGCCAAAATTGTAATGTTCCAGGTATTTTCAACCATCATTTCTCATTTTTCGAGTAAAGTAGGTTGAAGCTGAAAAAATAACCAGCAAAGAATTTATATTGTTAGCAGTTTGAGGTTTGAAATAGATATGGGTTCATATTCTAGGGTGATGGAATAGGTTTCGCAACTCAAATGTTATTACCGTTCAAATGCATTTTATCATTTGCAATCTACCCACCTTGATTTTTAAAGGGTTCTGCTCAATTATATATTCACCATTATTAGTAAAGCTTTCAATGTGGAAAGGATTTATTTCTTTGCCTTGTTGAAGAATTCTTTACTGCATCCTTGTTTGACAAAAAGGCACTGAGACCTCCAAATTTGTTTTTTTTTTACAAAATATGTTCACTCTGTACAAGGCTTGAGAGCCCCTCAAGGTAGGGTAAAAGGCACAGTTTATGCAGATATGTGGGGAAGATAATGGTTAAACCTAGACTTGAACAGTTTAAGATTGTAGTGATCAGGGAAGCATCTTATTGGGTGTTGGTTCCACAGAGCAATGGTGTGTGGAAAAAAACTGCTTGAATGGAATTTACATCTCAGCAATGAAATACAATTGGAATGAGGGTGGTTCACCACAATGTGCATAGCACTGCGGGTCTTAGCTGTGAAGGTTAGAAAAGTAAGGAGCACTTTCCATGGAAATAGTGATAGAGGAGTAACACTTTTGGATGATATCGAAACTGGCAAGTGAAAACTGGGCAGCTCCTTCCCATATATGGCAACAGTACTCCATTTTCAACATGATCTGGCTCTTGTAAAAGGAGGAGGATAGTAGGAGTCAGGTACTTACTGGAGTGGCACAGGGGACTAACCATTTTTCCAGCATCTTTAGTGATGGATCATATAAACAAATTCTACTTGAAGTCTGCGTTCAATTTAAGGTCCAGTAGGCACTCAAAGCAGACAGGTGTGCTTGGAAAACAATAGTAGTTATATATATAAATAAAAAGAAAGAACAGCAAGATATATAATCCGGTGTTCTTATAGATATTTTTATTTTTACAAAATAGTGCTCAATGTAAATTTACATCGCATCAATATTATAAATTAATTGATTTAAAATATTTTTTTCCTTACACAGTTCTAACCATGTTTCAAAAATGGAAGCTAAAAAAGCCACAAATTTAATTTTCATTTTTTTTGAAACATTTTAGAACAATTTGTAAAAAAATATTTAAAATAAAAATAATGATAATATAATATATATATATATATATATATATATATATATATATATATATATGTCAAATATTAAAAGAACGGAAAGAATAAAATTCAAACATTCATATCATCAATTTAAAAAAGGGCACAATACAAGAGTAGAGCAATAAATATTTATTAAAAACTGTTAAATTAGAACATGCAAGTTACTGCTACAATATTGCATATTTCGTTTTGACGTTTAAACACACCTTATCAGGTAATTATCTAGACAAATTGTGCCTTGATAAAGTCCATCAGAAATGCATTAGCTAAGATAAGTTTTCCTTTTGACTTTTCCACACACACACACACACACACACACATACATATTTATATAGTGTATGGGGGTGGGCAAACTCTACAATATAATTGTTATTGTTATGTATTAATAAGATATAATTTATCTATTTCAAATTTATGTGTGAATTCTGATGGTAGGTTCTCCATTAAGTTACTTTACTATGTCTAGTAAATTTATATTATGAGGATATATTGAAAGAACGCTATCTATGTATTTCAAGTAAGTAGGGTTTTTAGGTATGATGTGCTTAAATGTACCAGTTTCTAAAAACTAGCAAAAGACAAGAAAGGACATCACTAATTGGTGAGCCAATTAGGGCTGTCCTTTCATTTCAAATTTTTTCTTAGACAAATTTTTATTGAAAGAGAAAAACAGTGGTTAGTGATTAGTATGCTTATTTGTATAATTTTATGGAGAAGAAGGAAGTTTTTCTTTGGATTGTTTCTTAATATGATGAGGCATATCTCTATCTATAAAAGGCAGGATGTGTGTGTGTGTGTGTGTGTGTGTGTGTGTAACGAATGCAATTTTTTTCGACGGATTTGCACCAAAATTTACATGCACATGCTCCAAGTTACGGGAAGGCCAAGACCAACTTTGCATTTCCCAACTCCCATCGTTAGTGGAAATAATCGATTTTTTCATGCTTCTACGGCAGTTTTCATGTAGTTTGCGGCCATTTTGTACTGGCCAGAGTGAGAGCCAATAGCTGGCTGCCACGAATAGGCAGGAAGATTCTATTGGCCAGCGTGAGAGCCAACAGCTGACTGACACGAATGTTAACTAGCATGCTAGCATGCAAAAAAAATCGATAGCTGCATTCGTCACAAGTGGGAAAAATTTAAATCTGCATGGCACTTTACTCCAATTGGCTCATTCGCTTGCTTAAACTCAACGTTGATTCTGATTCCGCAGAACTGGGTTGGGTGTGAAAAAGTATTTGTTGTTAACATTCTTTTTTCATTTGGTTTTTCCAGTTACGAGTCCTTTTTTAAAGCTGATCGTTTTGTGTTCATTTTGTTTAGTTCTTTTTTCGTAACAGATTTAATGTTTAGTATAGAGCTTAGAAAAAATTCGCAGTGTGAGATAGGCAAGAAGTAAGGCATGTAGCAACATCAGCACGGCAAAGGGCACTCCTTTAAAAGGCAAGGAAGGGCAAAAAATATTTTAAGTCAAGTGATAGCGATTGCTGTATGAGTCATTATGATTTTTTGAATCAAGCACGGGTGCCATGCTGCTAGTTAATGAAATATTTTGGATATATTGAAATATAATGATTTTACTGTTATTAGAAAAAAATTTAAACTCTATGTATTTCCAGAAATTTGGTGGAAAAATTAGCCATAATCTGTTGTTTTGATTATGAAAAGATAAATGGAAAGAAAATCCTCTGGATTTTTCCAGAAAAGGTGAATCATTTTTTTCTTTGATATGTTTTAAGAACCTCGATTAGGACTTTTGCAATTCTTTAGCTCAATTTGTCAACAACTTAAATTTACTGTTGATTTGATACACAATGGGTCTAAAAAATATCTTTATCAGATATATGTGTGTGTGTGTCATTTTTTAATGGTCAAATATAATAATAAGTAAAAAGAAATTTGAAAATAAAAATATTATCGCTTCAAATAAACAAGGATATTTTTAAACATAGATTTAGTTTACATTACCTCCTGTTCAAATTTCTATGGCAATACAAATTTTGAATGCAGATTTTAATGTTTTTTTTCATTTTTTTATTTTGGAAAACCTTCTCCCATTTCTCTGGCGATCTCATAGGTTTATAATATT